TTGAAAACGAGCCGCCCTCAATCCACGAAACTCTTGCATTTCCTCAACACGAATGTCCGCGGCGCTGGGGCGAGAACCACATTTTGAAAACGGCCCGCCCTCAATCCATGAAGCTCTTGCAATGTTCTAAACCGAATGTGCGCGGCGCTGAAGCGATAACCACATTTTGAAAACGAGCCGCCCTCAGCCCGTGAAGCTTATGCAACTGTTGAGACCAAATGTGCGCGGCGCTAAAGCGGAAGCCACATTTTGACAAACCCTCTATCGGTGAAGCTGTTGCAAATTTGTGAGCGTCATAATCGTATATGGTGGGGAATTCTAGGGCAAAGCGCCTGGCCCGCCTTAAACACTGACCTTGGGGTGCGACGGGGAAGAGTTATTCATGAGGATAAGGAATGGAGGAGGAGGAGAAGGAGGAGGAGGAGGAGGAGGAGGAGGAAGAGGACGAGAAGGAGGAGGAGGAGGACGAGGAGGAGGAGGAGAAGAGGAGAGGTGGAAGGAAGGAGGAGGAGGAGGCAGAGGACGAGGAGGACCCGGAAAAGGAGGAGGAGGGGAGAGGAAGAGGAGGAGGAGGAAGGAGGAGGAGGAGGAGGAGGAGAGGAGGAGGAGGTGAGACGCGGACAGGAGGGGAGGAGGAGAGAGGAGGAGGGGAGAGGAGGAGGGGGGAGGAGGATTGGAGGAGGAGGAGGAGGAGAAGGAGGAGGAGGAGGAGGAGGAGGAGGAGGACGAGGAGAGGAGGAGGAGAAGGTGGAGAGAGAGGAGGAGGAGGAGGGAGGAGGAGGAGGAGGAGTAGGAAGGAGGAGGAACAGGAGGAGAGGAGGAGAGGAGGAGGAGGAGGAGGAAAAGAAGAAGATAGGAGGAGGAGGGAGTGGAGGAGGGGGACGAGCAGGAGGAGGAGGAGGAGGAGGAGGAGGAGGAGGAGGAGGAGGAGGAGGAGGAGAGGAGGAGGTGGAGGAGGAGGAAGAGGAGGGATGGCGGAGAGGGCACCAGGCGCTTTCGATTTTTTTGCACGACGCTTCCATACTACCTCATCGCCCTCTGCTTCCTCTTAGGAGGTTGGGTTGGACGGGGAGGAGTGTAGAGGCATCGAAGGAGGGAGATGAGCAGGGCGAGGGGAATGAGGGTGGGAGGAGCGGGGGTAGCATGGGGATGGATTCGCTTTCCTTCCTCTCCCGCTTGATCTTGCCGTTTCTCTCTTCATTCCTCTTTAGTCTTAATTTTTCTGTCTTTCTCATCCCCCACATGCTTCAACCGTCATGCTACTCCTCATGTTGTTCCATTTTATATGATCGTCTTCTTTCTTTCCCGTCTCGGCATCTTTCCTTCGGCCCAGGCCCTCGAAGTCCTTGCGATGCCACTGATGACCCTTGTCTATTTTCTTCCTGTTGCTCGTCCTCCTGTTGAGGTTGAGGAGAAGGAAGAGCGGGGAGGAGGAGGGGAAAGAGGAGGACACGACCATCTATAACGAAGGCTACGAAGACGAGGTTCCATACCATCGATGCTCATGGAACCACCTTCCCCGCACCGTGTAAGTCGCCGCGCTGTGGGTGGGTGCGCTATGCGGTGCAAGCTGCGCGGTAAAAGCTACGTGGTGTAAGCTCGGTGGTGCAAGCTCTGTGGTGCAAGCTCTGTGGTGCAAGCTGTGCGGTGCAACCTCGACGGACCCCCCAGGCGTGTGGAGCGGCAGCGAGGCGGCAGCGTGCGGTGACAGCGCGAGGCGTCGACGGACCCCCCAGGTGGGCGGCACCCGGGCGGCAACGGGCGGCGCCGGGGCGAGGCCTCGATTCGTCTCTCGAGCAGGCGGCAGCGGGGCGGCCACGGGCGGCGATGGCGGCGACTCTTCGGCGGACGCCCCCAAGCAGGGCAACTTGGGGGCGGTGCGGCGCAAAACCTCGGCGGGCCCCCGGAATGTGGTCGGCGACGGGGCGGCAGCGGGCGGCGACTCGGCGCAAAACTTCGACGGAGGCCCCCAAGTGGGTGGCAGCTGGGCAACAAATGCGGCAGCGAGGCGGCAGCGAGCGGCAGCGAGCGGCGAAAGACATCGGCGGCTCCCCCAAGGGGGCGGCAACCGGGCGGCAGAGGGCAGCGACTCGGCAAGACCTTGACCGATAAACCCCGCGTGGGCGCCGAGAGTGAGGCGACAGCGGGCGGCGGCGCGGCAAAACTCCGATGGGGGAGGAGGATGAGGAGGAGGAGGAGGAGGAGGAGGAGGAGGAGGAGGAGGAGAGAGGGGAGGATGAGGGGAGGAAGGAGGAGGAGAGGAGGAGGAGGAGTAGGAGGAGGAGGAGGAGGAGGAGAGGAGGAGTAGGAGGAGGGAGGAGGAGGAGGAGAGAGGAGGAGGAGGAGGAGGTGTAGGAGAAGGAGGAGGAGGAGGAGGAGGAGGAGGAGGAGGAGGAGGAGGCTGGATTCGGGCCGCACGCCGCCTCCAGCTCGGGCCCATCCAATTCCTGGATGGTCGTTTTTCTTATTCCTTGTTTTGCCAGTCAGCGCGGGCCCTCGCACCCCCCTCCCCACCCCCCAATGGAGCGGACCTTGGCTGTTTTTGGCGCCTCCTTTGAGCAGGGGGAGCCAGACCCCCCCCTGCCGCCCCCCCCTCCGCCTACTGTCGAAGCGCCGGATGAGAACACGTTGATGAGTAACAGACGAAGAACTCCCAGGTGTGAACACTTTCGGGGAATGAGGTGAACACTACTTGTGCGAATGATCGCAGTATTTGGGCCATCTGAACCATAACACAGCCACATTGACACCAGGTCCAAGAGAAAGACGAGCGGAGGGCAAGACAGACGAGGACGAGGGCGAGGCGCGGGAGGAGCCCTTTCCTCTCCCCCCGCCCTCCCGCTGGCAACCCTCCTCCTGCTCTCCCCGCACGAGAAGAGTCCTGCCCTCTTGTAGAGGGTTCAGGCGCGGGACGCTGCAGCAACGACCGCAGCGGCCTCCTCCACAGCAGGCCCGTGATAGCTTGTTACCCATCGGTTTGGCCTCAATCGGCATCACCGAAGTACACGCCAGTCGTTGAAAGTAGGTATTTCTGGATTCCCAGATCCCAATCTACTTCAAGCGCGTTCCTACTTCAAGAATCGGCATGATTTTGCTGTGCTTTGTTATTCTCTGGGAGGGCCTGGACCCAATCAACTTTATCCGCCTTCCTACTTCATGTTTTTACCTACTTCTTCCGACCGACGGGTAGATCCATGCTACGTGTGCATCTGCACCCCAGGTGCGACGCGCGCGGAAAGGAATCTTCTAGTATAGGCTCCGTGGCGGGTGCCTTCTGGCCATACCGCTCGGGAGCCGACATGCTGCGAGATCGTCATGCTATCTGTTCGGGTCAGACGCACGCCTCCAGGAAGGACACATAGTACAAGTGTGTCCTTGTGCGTCCCACTCAACGGACTCGCTGACCTCCCCCCCATCAATGTGCCCCGGAAGTGGCAGGGACGTGGGCCGTTGTTTGACCGTTTCCGAAGAAGGGCAACATTGAATCAGCGACCAGAAGTACAAACGTAGCCGGAACCGGCAACAAATGCGGCAAGACGGAATCGGTAACAAAACCAGTTTTGTCGTTTCCAGGGCCCACTACGCCTCCCCCTCCCAGCCTCCGCAGGTGGAGGGGGTGTTGATGCGCCTCACGGAGCCCTGTACCGTGTCGCTCCTGCAATACGTCCGCCGCGACGCGCCTGCGGTGCTCTCAGGCTGCGCGCCCGAGGACGGGCGCGGAGGAGCAGGAGGAGGAGGAGGAGGAGGTTCAGGAGGAGGAGGAGGAGGAAAAGGAGGAAGAGGAGGCAAAGTGGCGTAGGAGGAGGAGGTGGAGGAGGAGGACGAGGAGGAGGACGAGGACGATGAGGATGAGGACGAAACGAGGCGAAGGATGAGGATGCGGAACTACCATCATGCCCTTCCTATATTTGCCGAAACGCTCAGGGGGAGAGGGGGGCCACACCTCAAGGCGCAAGGTCTTTCGGACGAGGAGGAAGATGAGGAGGAAAAGGAGGCAGAGGAGTAGGAGGAGGAGGAGGAGGGAGGAGAAGGAGGAGGAGGAGGAGGATAAGCAGGAGGATGCGGAACTCTCAACATGCCCTGCCTACATTTGCCGAAACGCCCCGGGGGAGAGGGGGGCCAAACCTGAAGGCGCAAGAACTTTGGGACGAGGAGGTGGAGGTTAAGGAAGAGGAGGAGGAGGAGGAGGAAAAGGAGGCGGAGTGGCGTAGGAGGAGGAGGAGGAGAGCGGAGATGAGGAGGAGGAGGAGAGAAGGAGGATGAGGAGGAGAGAGGAGAAACAGGAGGCGGAGGAGGAGCAGCAGCAGGAGGAGGAGGTGGAGGAGGAGGAGGAAGAGGAGGATGAGGAGGAAGAGGAGGATGCGGAACTACCAACGTGCCCTGCCTACATTTGCCGAAACGCCCCAGGGAGAGGGGGGCCAAACCTGGAGGCGCAAGGTCTTTGGGACGAGGAGGAGGAGGAGGAGGTTGAGGAGGAGGAGGAGGAAGAAGAGGAGGAAGTGGAGGAGGAGGTGGAGGAGGAGGTTAAGGATGAGGAGGAGGAAAAGGAGGCGGATGATGAGGAAGGGCAGGAGGAGGCGGAACTACCAACATGCCATGCCTACATTTCTCGAAACGCCCCGGGGGAGAGGGGGGCCAAACCTGAAGGCGCAAGAACTTCGGGACGAGGAGGTGGAGGTTAAGGAGGAGGAGGAGGAGGAGGAGGAGGAGGAGAAGGAGGAGTAAGAGGAGGCATAGTGGCGTAGGAGCATGATGATGATGAGGAGGAGGAGGGTGTGGAGGAGGAGGTGGAGGAGGAGGACAAGGAGGGGGAGGATGAGGAGGAGGAGGAGGAGGAGGAGGGTGTGGAACTACCAACATGCCCTTCTACATTTGCCGAAACGCCCCGGGGGAGAGGGTTGCCAAACCTCATGGCGCAAGGTTTTTGGGAGGAGGAGGAGGAGGTTCAGGAGGAGGAGGAGGTGGAAAAGGAGGAGGAGGAGGCATAGTGGCTCATTTGCTCGATGCGCGAACCCCGCTGTGCTAAGCCTGGAGGCATAGTGGCTCAGGAGGAGGAGGTGGAGGAGGAGGAGGAGGAAAAGGAGGAGGATGAGGAAGCGGAGCAGGAGGTTTCGGAACTTTCAACGTGTCCTGCCTACAATTGCCGAAACGCACCAGGGCAGAGGGGGGCCACACGTGAAGGCGCAAGGTCTTTGGGACGAGGGGGAGGAGGAGGAGGAGGAGGAGGAGGAGGAGGAGGAGGAAGATGAGGAAGAGGAGGTTGACGAGGGTTGGAGAAGATGAAGGGAGAGGAGGAGGAGGCGGAGGAGGAGAGGGTGGAGAAGCTGAGGGGAAGAGGAGGAGGAGGTGGAGGAGGAGGAGGAGGAGGAGGAGGAGGAGGAGGAGGAGTCGCCAGGAAGGACAGGGGTCCCGAGGAAGCGGGTCCTGAGGTGTCGCTCCGCTCTCGGGCTCTGGCGGCCCTCCACGGGCCTCGGGGACCGTCAGCACAGCAAATCGGGATGAAGGCATGTCCCGAGCTCCCATTTCCATCAGACTCAGTTTTCTTCTTTGGAGAGGGTGGGGATGACCAGTGTAAACCCAGCGCGCGTCACCGATATCGGAATAAGCCCTCCATTCGAGTTCCCTCTTCGCATGTCCCTGCAGGCAGTGCTCCGATGAAAGACAGCCGTCTGAAAATCCTCAACAGTTCGAACACACAGTTCCTGGGATTTTGACCCAGATATTAACTTGAGTATTGCATCTTGAAAATCCCAATCGTGCCAGAACGCCCCTCCTGGAATTCCAACACCGCCAATCTCCGCTTATCAACGTGACTGTAGCGCTCTGACAACCCTACACTGTGCCAGAACACCGTTCCTGGGCTTCAACCCTGCGAAACCTTGAAATTGCTGCAGAATTAGACGAATTTGCGCGGCGTCCAGGCGAGAGCCACATTTTGAAAACACACCGGCCTCTATGCTTGAAGCAACTGCGAATTGTCAATACGAATGTTCGCGGCGCTCAGGCGAGAGCCATATGTTGGAACCACCCGCCCTCTATCTTTGGAATCGTTGCACATATTTCGTAAAACGAATGTGCGCGGCGTTGAGGCGAGAGACACATTTTGAAAACGACCCGCCCTCCGTTTTTGAACGTGTTGCAAATGCCCAGCTTCAGGATCATAAGTGGTGAGAAGGGCGCAAGTGAAACGCCCAGGGCGCCCTACCGACGCGTTTGAGTGTGCGACAGGGAAGAGCTAGTTCAAAGGACAAGGGATGGAAGCGGAGGAGGAGGAGGAGGAGGAGGAGAAGGAGGAGGAGGTGAAGGAGGAGCTTCAGCCGAAAGCTGTTTTTGGAGTAATGGGCTGAAAGCCAACTGGAGAGCGAGGAAGCGGATGGGGGACTAGCCAGATGTGTAGGAGGTGGGGGATGGGGAAGTAGGATGGTGGGATGGGTGTCTTTTCAGGTGGAGGGGCAGAAGGAACAGGAGGAACAGGATTGAGAGGAGCAGGACCGTGAACACGAGGAGGAAGAACAGAAAAAGGACGGGGACGAGGGGGCCGCGAAAGCCTACGTTCTCGATAACGCGGTCGCTTATGTTTTTTTTTGCTGTCGTTTGCCTTGCGTGGGTCCGCGTCCGCTGCGTCGTCATGGCAGAATTCCTTATTGTCGTCGTCCCGCCTTCAATTCCGTTTCCTTATAGAGAACTCCTCCTTGTCGCACCCCGAGGCCGGTTGATAGGGCGGGCCAGGCATCTCGTTTGAACCCCCCCCTCACCATGTTTATGATCTTGGAGCTGAGAAATTGGCAACAGTTTCACAGATGGAGGGCCGTTTTCAACATGTGGTATTGGCCGTAGCGCCGCGCACATTCCTTTCAAACATGTGCCAACGTTTCACGGATTGAGACTTGCAGAATGTGGCTCTCGCCTTAGCGACGCGCACATTGATTATCATGGTGTGCCAGAAGTGTTGTTTTGGCACGGTTCAATATCGCCAGGGCGCAACAGTTACGCTGATGCGCGGTGTTGAAGTCCGAGTAGCGATGTTCTGGCACGATTCAGGATCTCCAAGACGTGCCAGTCAGGTTAACTTGTGGCGTTGAAGTCCCGAGAATAATGTTTTGGAACGCTTCCTGATTTTCACACGGTTGCCCCTCTTCGTGGCAATTCTTCCAGTGGAAACGAACACGTGCCGAGGCTTATGAAAAGGGAGTTTGGAGGGAGGGTGTATTTCAACATCGTTGATGAGGCTTGGGTTTGCACTGGTTTCCCCTCCTCCTCCCTCTCCTTTCTCCCACTCCCTTCTCCTTTCTCTCTCTCTCTCTCTCTGTCGTTCTCTCTTTCCGTTTTTCTCGCTTCTCTCCCTTCCTCCCTTCTTTTTTTCTTCTCTCCATCCTCCCTCCTCAACTCTTTCGCCTCCATCGTCCCTCCTCCCTTCCCCATCCTTCTTCCTGCTGTCTCCATCTCTTTCTTCTTCGTCCTCCATCTCCCCTCTCCCTTCCCCTCCTTCTCTCTCCCTCCAGCTCCTCCCTCCTCCCTCTTTGCTTCCTCCTCCTTCCCTTCCCCCCCCCCTCCCCAGCGCCCGAGGAGCTGAGAACGCTGAGGGACATGGCGAAGGACGTCGCGTGCGACATGTACTGCCTGTGGGAGAGGTGCGACGCGGGCAAGGCGGTCGAATTCTTGGGCTTCCTGTCGCGGAGCCTGATCCAGGCCATCAGCGCACAGGACCCGGTGGCGTCGGAGGCGGCCCTGGTGCTTCTCGAGGGCGTCGTGGACGTGGTGGACAGCCCGTTGCCACCCCCTTTCGTCGAGGCCCTCAGGTGGATCCCCAGGATCGCGTGGCTCGACTTGTATCCACATCCGCGAGGGGTATGATGGTGATGATGACGATGACGTAGACGATAGCAATGACCATGACGGTAATGGTGATGCTGTTGTTTATGATGGTGTTGTTGTTGTCGATGATGATGATGATGATGATGTTGATGCCGATGTTGTTTATGTTGATGTTGATGATGGTGCTGATGTTGTCGATTATACTGAGGATGATGCTGGTAATGCTGCTGATGATGCTGCTGCTGATGACGATCTTGCTGATGATGACGATCTTGCTGATGCTGCTGATGATGATGATGATGAGTATGATGCTGCTGCTGCTGATGATGATGATGATGATTATTATTAATTATTAATTGCTCATAATCATCATCATTTTTACTATTATTAGGCTTATTTATTATGAATCGGATTATTATTATCAGTATCAGTATCATTACTATGATGCTGCTGATGATGATGATGCTGATGATGCTGATGATGATGGTGATGATGCTGATGATGATGATACTGATGATGATGATGATGATGATGATGATGATGATGCTGCTACTGATGATGATGATGATGCTGCTGATGCTGCTGCTGCTGCTGATGATGATGATGATGATGATGATGATGATGCTGATGATGATGATGATGATGATGATGATGATGATGATGATGACGTTGACAATGACGATAATGATGCTGACAATGATGATGAATACGATGAGGATAATAGGGAGCTGTAGGCTGTAGGGGAAGGGTCAGCCCAAACCCGAGACGCAGTGGATGCGGATATGTTCGGGCCTCACCAGTGGCCAGAAGTCTGTCCAGATCCACCACGTCTTGGGCTCCTGGGGAAGAGGGCCCGAGAGTCCGAGACGCAGTGGACATGGACATGCACCTTGCCCGCAAGGATGCCCAGCGACGGCAACGCCATGGCGGCGGGGGCCATCCTCCTCCGCCAGGTGAGCGACGCAGTTAAAAAAGGGGTTCGATTGTGTGACACCTGCGCGTAAGCACCCCGCGCAAGCTCGCGCGGGAGCGCCCTCGTTCCCCGCGCTGTGTGCCGCACTGGCGGCTTGCGCTAGACGTGAAGGCGGCGGGCCTCCTCAGAAGCCCTCGCGCCTTCTGAGACGGTTCCCGTGCACGGTCTCCGGGGATGGCTCAGAAAACTCCGCCAAAGGCCGGAGGCCCTTCGAGCCTTCCAAGACGGCCCGCCCCCTCTCACTTCCCCCCGGGCGCGCCGCCAGTAGGACTGTTTCTTCCCTCCTCCAGGTCGCGCCGCACGTGAACGCGCACGTGGAGGTGCTCCCGGACTCGCTGGAGTTCCTCATCCGCGCGCTGCCCGTCATACCGTTCACCGCCGCGGAGCTCGAAGAAGAAGTACCATACATTCAGTATCGCTTCACTGATCCCGCTCCCCATCCCCATTGCGATCCCCACCATCCCACCACCCCAGTTGTGGATATGCCTCTCGAACCCCGAAGGGAGCAGCCTGTATCCCCATCTAGGGGGGTAAATCTGCAGGCGGGGCCTTGGCCACACCGGTGGGAATAGGCATCGGTTAAACGATGCTCATCAACGAAGTTTTTCGTTGGTCCGCGCGGATTTCTTGGAGCTGCGCTGGACCCCCCTGGCGGCGCTTCCGGCGCCCCCCCTCACGCGCTCCGAGATCCAGGAGGGCGCGTTCAGCGCAGATTCAAGAAGTTTGTGCGGACCGTCGGAAGTTTTATGTTGCTCCCATCGTACTTAAGGACCACGTCCCCGAAACAATTTCGAGCACCCGGAAACGCGTCGAACGAGTATCGAAACAATGTCGAAACAGTGTCGGGAGAGTGTATCTCAGGGCCTGACGCGTGAAAACCCTCGAGTTTCGGTATTTGTTTGGTGCTCGAAATTCTTGCTAATGATCAAGGCTACAGTAGGTTGTAACATCATAACGAAAGCTGATGTTTCTGCAATTCTTTCTTCCTCCAGGAGTGCGTCCTGGAGCTCACGGGCTACGCGGGGCACCACCTGGCCTCCGCGCTGCCGAGGTTCTTGGCCGCGGTGGAGCAGATCGCGCCCGGGTTCCCGGTGAAGGCGGGCCGCGGAACGCCAGTTGTGCAGCTGCGCCGGCCTGGGGCAGGCACAGCGGCGGGGCGCCCAGGGGTGGGGAGTGAGCGGGGGATGGGGAGGAGGAGGAGGAGGAGGAGGAGGAGGAGGAGGAGGAGGAGGAGGAGGAGGAGGAGGAGGAGGAGGAGGAGGAGGAGGAGGAGGAGGGATGGAGGAGGAGGGATGGAGGAGGAGGGATGGAGGAGGCTGAGGAGACTTCTGTCTCCGAGGGTGGCGGGGCTTCTCAGAGGCCTTCGCGCCTACTGGCAAATCTTCTGGGCCGTCTCCGAAGCCGCAGATGGCTTATGAGAAGGCGCGAGGGCTTGTGAGACGCCCCGCAGGCTTCTGAGAAGGCCTGCTCCCCCTCGCTTCCCCCTGGGCTCGCCGCCGACTTGAGCATCGATGGGCCAGCACCCGCCCCCATGCGGGGAGGAGATCGGGCGCAGTCGCACGACCGTGAAACTACGGTCGCAACCGCCACCGCGCACAGTAAGTTGACATTCTTCGGGGTAGGTTTGCGAGCGTGAGACGTTCAACAGAGCATGTGCCATCGGAGGCTGGGGGGTGAGATCGCAGTGGAACGGAGGGCCCCCCACCGTGCCGTGTTCGTGTCGTGCGTGCGGGCGAGGCGAAGCTGTGTGGGCGCGCGAGAGAAATGATCCCGCCGTCGCCAGGCCGATTTGATGCAGTGGGCCGCCCCTCCGCCCCCGGTGGGCGCGCGGTGGCCGGGGGTGTCCCGCCGTCCTGTTGGTGTCGCGTTGGTGGCCCGTTGGTGTCCCGTTGCTGTCCCGTCGGTGTTCCGTCGGCGGTGGGCGGGCGGTGGCTGTGGTGCTCCCGCCTTGGTATCGATAGTGAAGTCGACAGTGTGATCGATAATGAGATCGCTAGAACGGAACGGATAGTGATATCAAAAGTGAGGTCGACAGTGAGGTTGATCGCGATATTGGTTGCGCTCGTGCTGTCGGATGCGCAGGGAGGCGATGCCCCCTGGGTCGTGCAGATTTCACTGGGACAGACGATCCCCCCTGGAGCGAGCACAATGGCATCGATCGCTGAATCCATTGATACTAAGACTGGCCGTGCGGTCGATGGTTGATCGATCGAGTGAGATCGACAGCAGGTACAATAGCGACATTACATCGCAGCGCAACATCGCCAGCACGCCTTGGCGCTAACTCGAGGGCGAGTCACCAGCATCGTTATCACCACACCCTTCGCATTTACCAGCAATTGGTTTCCCCCCCCCCCACCCCCCCAACCTCCTTCTCACCCGAAGGGTGGTCGTATAGGTATGTTTCGGGTTAAGGCCCGCATACCTTTGTGTGTACACGTGCGGCTCCCAAGAGATGCCGTTTCCGTCGGGTTATGTGGCACCTGCCCCATTTTGGACGCGGTAAGCGGATGGCGCTGAGGAACGTTGGCCCACGATGGGGATGGGGATAGGTATCCAGCTGCCTACGGCAAGTCCCGCCACCGTGCCTGGGTTGTGGGTTATAAGCCTAGTGGATGTTCGTTGGAATCTCGTGGGGTGCCCGTGGCCTCCCCTTGGAGGCAGTTTTGAGACCTCTTGGGGGCCGTTTCAGGGCCTCTTGGGGGCCTCTTGGGGCCTCTTGGTCGCCTCTTGGGCGCCTCTTGGGGCCTCCTGTGGGCCCTTTTTTGGGCGGAAGGCTCGGAATCTCGATTCGCGTTCCTAATCTGGGGCCCCTGTTGGGGCCATCTTGACTTTAAACGGAGAAGGTTAAAGGCGAGGTATAAATCGAGCATGTACCGCTGCCGTGCCTGGCTCAAGCCGGGCCCGGCCAAATATATGACTGTGCCTCACCGAGGCGCACGACTGGTATCTGAGATCGGAAAATACCTTTTCCATTGAAGATGCCCCTTCTATCCTTTACTCCAGATCCCATGCTTCGTCTCGCTCTCTTGCTCATGCGATATGAGCCAAAGCCTGGGATATGGCAACGCTTGAAGCGTAACACATACCTAAGCTTACCAGCATGTTTTCGACTTGGTAGCGGAGCTGGCTACACTCTCGTGTGGCTGGCTCTCGCTCTGATTCCTGTAATCCACGGCACAACTTGGTGGACTACTACTACGGTGGAATACCATGTTGCGCCGGCTCTGCGAGGAGCGGAGCCAGTCCGCGATCGAGCTAGCGGGGCAACCCGCGAACTCGAGACGCTCTCTCCTACTTCACTGCGCTACTTCACTCTCGACTTCCACCAGATGCCAATCGGCAACTCGATCGAGAACGTGGTCACCCTGCGGGGCTACCCGCAGCGGGGCCACCTGCATCCCGTGCCAGTCAGGCGCCTCACGGCTACTACGCCAGAGCCTGACAAACCACAGCCTAAACCAATCACCGAAGCCGAAATGCACATGCGCTGGATTAAGATAACTATCTTCGGCATTCTGTGGGTAATAATGGGATGTGCTGTGGGATACATGCGGCAGGGGATGGACGACACGCGTACTACCGGCCCTTCGTGGGACCCTGCCGGCACTACGCCTTTTCGCGAATACGTTCGCGAAGTACATGCATGGATAAACGTAACGAGCGGCAATATGACGCCACCTCAACAAGCTGCAGCACTACAACGAGGCCTCCAAGGTCTTGCTCGTCGTATCGCCATGCAGGTCCCTTCCCAGATCATCAATTATGGTGTAACTGTCAATGGACAGCCAACGGATGCAGTTACTTATATACTGTACCTATTGAGCACCAAATTTGAAAATCTGGAAGATGAGCGCCAGCTCAACTCTGGCACTGCCCTTATCGACTTTCGCGTCGAAAGGGGCGAGCGAATCGACTCAGTATTAGCTCGATTCGAGATGGCCCGTGACGAGGCTAACTCTGTTGGCTTTGTCATCCCCAACTTTCAGATCCTAACGCTGATTCTCTTCAGAGCGTTAGGCGTTGGCGCGTCACGAGCCCAACACCTGCTGGAGCCCTTTAATCATCAGATGCCCAGAACACAAGCAGACTATGACAGGCTGCTGACCAGGATGAGGAACTACGGACATGTTGCCGAGCGCTCTCCTGGCAACATTGCGGGTATCTTCACAGGGCACCACTCACATGCAGGTGTCTACGCCACGACTGCGGGGTCACCCGCTGGTCCTGGCGAGCCAAGTCCCTGGGCTGACCCAGCCGATATGCCCAACGAGGCCACTGCCTTCTTAGGGCAGACCGGCCAGGCATCGGCAGAGGCAGCTGAGGCGAACGCCTGGTCGAACTACTCGCCAGGCGCCGCCTACACTGCAAGCCCGCCCTCGGGCACAACCCTCTGGGGCCAAGCGGAGTCATCCGCTCAAGGGTCTCAGCCACCCTCACCGTTTGAATCTGGCACTGACACAGATACCTCATCTGACGATGAGCACAATGGCATAGTCTCTGCTGGCAATGACTATCCAGCGGATGACACTCACCTTTCTGAACAACAAAGAGCGGAAGCCGCTTTTATGGCTTATCGCAAATCAAAACGCCGTTGGAGGCGCTTTATGAAGAAACCAGTCAGAAAAGTGAGACGTGCAGTACGCCGACATTTCAAACGATGGAAAGGGTCGTGGAAAGGGGGTCGCAGACGCCGTATGCATGGTAGGGGTATTACTGCTTTCCTCACGTCCTTAACTGATATAGTTTTTGAAGAAGTTCTTATCGGAGGCAAAGGTCGGGGTCGCAGGCGGACCTCTGGTAAGGGAAAAGGGCGGAGGGGCAACCCTAGGGACGCTTCTGGCAATACTATGAAGTGTCATACATGCGGTAGTACAGAGCATTTGCGCGATCAATGCCCGAAAGGGAAAGGAAAGGGATCCGTACATTTGGCTCAAAACTCTTTTATGGATGACATAGACTACATTGACTACGAGTTTTACGTCAATCCAGAAGCGGCTCCCGCCGCGGGCTCCTCCACGTATTACGTGATGGCCCGCTACGCTGAAGTGACCGTAGCCCTGGAAGACTACGCGGTGACCCTCTTCGACGAGTTCCACGGCTGGGACGAAGTCGACGAGGTCGCGTTCAATGCCTGGTTCGGTCTTCCAGCGGGGCCACCCGCCGACGACGAGATCTCCGATGCTGAGACCGTCCCGGCGACCGAGGAAGAGCTCGCCGCCGCGCTGGCACCGCAGGTGATTGGCATGCCGTTGCTGCCAGATCTTCCGCGAGCTGGCTCGGAAGCGGGAGACGCTGATGACGAAATGCGGGGCCATCCCGCGTATTCTGACTCTGAAGAGGCCGAAGAGGACTATAAGGACATGCTCCAAGAGCAGGTCGCAGAAGCAATCCGGCTCCTGAGTGCGCCAGCACATCAGCAGATAACCATGAACGACCTGCTGTCGCGCCCAGGGGCCGCAAGGCTGCGTCCATACCTGGATTCGGACATGTCGGCACCTCGGATGCTGACAGCGCTCCAGGCTCTAGCGGGGTCACCCGCCGAAGAGACGCCAGCCACAGCAGCGGGGCCACCCGCTTGGTCTATGGATGTATTCATGCAGGGCTGCGACCAGATGGACCTCAACGACCTCGCGATGGAGCAGCTCAACGACATCGGGTACTTCCGAAGCCCGTATCAGCACGTATTCATGGTCCAGGACAGCTCAGAGGACTCGGAGGACATGCGCCATGCCAAGAGGGACAGACGACCATCGCCTCCCCGAGACTCAGAGCATGACGATCAAAGGCCCATGGAACGCGGCAGTGCGTCAGCGGGGCCAGCCCGCAGAAGGAGCCGTTCAGCTCCACGACGCCCTACACGTGATGCATCGGGCTACCCGTACAGTACGGGGCACTCCGTAGGTGTATCCGCTCAGTACGTGCCGGAGTGGTACATCAATTGGTACCCCGGCTACTCGATGGACGTGATTTGCCACTGGTATTCTAAGGAGTATTGCACCAAAAGGGACGAATCTGGCATGATAATACGTACCAAGGGTGGCAAGACTAAAACGCCAGAGGCTTGGGACAAAAGGGCTAAGAAACAGGAGATAAT